AACGGGGACAGCCCCTCGCAAACAAGAACAGAGTGTTTCTAAACAAAGCCGTATTTTAAAAATTACAATACTTTTTGGCATGTTAAAAAAAAGACGATGTATTTTTCTTCTAACATGCTAAAAAACATTTGTAATTTTGGTATAAATCTAATTAAAAAAAAATAGTCTGACGATGACTCTAACTCATTAATATCAAAGTGTCTTTTCACACTTTTTGTCTAGATATCGATATCGGGGATATAATTCATATCGCAAAAGGCCGATAGTTAATCTAAAATTTATTTAACTGTACAAATTGTTGCAATATTGTTGTCCATGTAACATCTTCCGAACTTTGTAATTTCCATGTCTGCTAGCCAAATTAGTTTTGAGCGAGCAGAAGAGAAGTGGCTATATCTTTTATGTGAAGAATATCAACTTAAAACAATGTAACCAAAATGCGAAGGCGAGGCATGAAATTACCCAGAACAGTACAAATGTAATTAAACCTAACCGTTAAACTCAGGCGTCGTCGTAAAAGTTAAGTAAAAGCTCCTCAGAATCTTTGTTAGATTTACGTTTTGTGCTTGGAGGGTAAAGAATGAAATGGAAAATTATTTGCCTCAATATGAGTATGAGCATTTTTACAGCTATAATTTTCTCATGAATTGTCTGTCTTTTTATCAAAAATGATTTTTTGTTGAATTAACTGTTATAATTTTGCATTAACTAAATAAGGGCAAAATTTAATAACCTTATATATATAACGTTATAATTAACAAAATTTAACTGAACATTAATATATGAACATTAATATCTATTTATTTATTTAAGGAACACCAACAGCATATTGCATTGTAACATATAGGTATAACAACATTAAATACAATACAATATTAATGCACATGCCTATTATAGGTATTCACAGCATTCACTTTAACATAATTATACAGTGTAAGAAATTTAAGTAAATAACAAAAATAAACATGTAATCTAAGTTAGTGAGCAATATCAGAAAATAAGATAATATCTAAACAAATGAAAGTAGCCAGATCATGTAAACGGTTTCGGCATATCAAATCATATAAAATAATGTTTAAGAATAGGACAAAAATAGTATACAATAGCAAAAAATAGAATAACTAATAAGATGAATTCATTCTAAACAATTAAATGCCAGAAATTTCTAGTATAAACAGAATAAACACATAGTGACTATATTAGCCATAAAATACATGTACTTCCACGGTTTGTAGTTTTTTCACTTATATACATATAAGTACGTGATATCAAATATTTTATAGTTCCACCAAGTGTCAGCAATCACCGGTATTATCGCACTAAACACATTGTGTTTGTGTATGCATTCAATATTATATTATCAATCTAAATAGTCTATTGCATTGCCTCTAGCGAAAACCAATCTTGTGTAATGGTCTCCTGCAGTTGGGCTATCTAGAAATTTATAACGTACTTGGTACCTCGGTTAGTACCATATTCAGAGACATTGTTTAAAATATATAAATAATGATATGAATAATTTCTATAAATTATAATATTAACATACAACTCTACACAATACATAATTAATTCAGTACAATAAAGATTTTATAATAACATCTAAACATATTATTAATAAATGTGAATTAATATAATTTCTTAATATAAAATGAATAATCAAATATATATAATACTAGTCTTTACCTGCGACTTCACGTGATCCTTCTAAGCTCCATCTTAAATGTTACGTATACGCTAAATTTGGTAATAATAGGTTAAGCTTATAAAGTATCAGTAATAAAATTAATTATATATGCATACATATTTTTAATAAAATAATTATTTTATTTAAAACATAATGTTATAATGTTTTTAATTATAGATATAATTTTTGATAAATTCATTATTAGTTACTAGTAAAACTAAGTAAGTTTTCGAAATATTTTTATGGACATATGCCAATATTGAGTCATTAAGAAAAAAATATTATTCTAAATTCAAACATATATTAATAAAATTAGTAACAAAATATAAACTGTGTGAGAGAGATGGTGAATTATAGAAGTTTTAGATAAAAACAGATATAAAATCGTCCTGTATTCATGCGATGTCCATGAACTGATCTGGAGAACATAAAACTTCCGACAACATACGATCTGGCCATTTGTCGTCGACAGACCAATCTATACTTTTAATTGGGAGCACTAGATCTGCTGGTCTTCAGGCATCTGACATGTTGATGTGTGGTGTGATGCGAGTGATTTATTTTATGCTAACGTGACTATTATAAAGTCACGATTTTCTAATAATAGATGATTATATTGGATTCACGTCATTTAATGATTCTTTCAACTGTGGAGGCTTTGAATGACATATGCCAAATTCTATGTCTATCATCATTTCTGTCAATTATTGTTTATCGCTAAATATAAGTTCTCATAGACCTGTATAAAACCGGTGTTTTTCCACAGTTATACAATGACAGGCAGTAACTTTTAGATAATTACTTACACATATATGTAACTATGTGGGAAATGGCAGTGAATTTACAGGGTACAGAATTACAGAGGAATAACACCTGAATCCTTAGGAATGGCAACACATGGGGAGTATCATGGGCGAAATAGTATACTCTGTTATGTCCATGGTACTGTTCATATCTATAGGCGACGGTTACCACTTTCCATCAGGTGGGCCGTCAGTTTGTTTGCTATTCTAAGTTGCAAAAAAAAGTTGCATATATACATAACTAAATGTCACTAATTTTTATTTTATCATTTAATAGCGATTCGCTCCGGCTTCACGTGGATAGGTACAAAAATAAATTATTATTTTATAGTAGCTATTATTGGCAAGTTTTTAATACTTTGGGTTATATTATTGTACGAGTAAATTTCGTAGGAACATCCAATTTTTTTAACAATATATAGCCTATGTTAATCGCTGACAATGTTACTAATAAATTTCTATAAGTTGATTAAGTTTTGAGTTTATCCATCACAAACAAATAAAATTTTCCTCTTTATAATCAGCATCATCATGATTATATCAGTCGTTGACTGTCCATTGCTAATTATACACTTCCCACAAAAGGGGGGGTTTTGTCAGTAGTTGTTACACTTGGCAGGCGGATTGGCAACCACAGTTACACTTTGATAACGATTTAAGAGAGATGTTGCTGCCCATCCCTCGACTATTAAGTTCCATTAGTTGCCTCTTATGACATTTGATATTATTCTATGCCGGGACCACACGGCACTCGTTCCTCTTTATAATATTAGTATAGATATTGATAAAGGAATATATAACAGTATCTTATTTTATGATTATAGTCATTTTCAATTAGATAGTTAATCTATCTTAGCAAAAGTGAACTTCTTATGAAATGAAAAGTATCTTAGCAAAACTATGAACAAAAAAGGTTTTAAAGCTAATATTAATAATAACATGTTACTATAACAATATACAAAAAACTTGAGTACCTATTCCATTTTATCTTTCATTCGGGGAATTGAAATCTACTAGAAATGTGCTCCAGCAAATTTTTAAAACGAGTACATTATATTGTTATGAAACTTGTATTTGTGTACTTAACTATATCTAAGAATACTTTCAACGTTGATTTTGATATTTTTTAATACATCTCAAAAGTTGAAGGATGAAGAGGCTCTATAATTAACTTCAAGTTTTACATTCAAACGCGTAACTTGTATAAGTTTATGTGCAAATATTTCTCCTCTACTAAGTAATTGCTTGAAAAACAAACAGGAATGCGCCCGCGTGTTTTATTTATGTCGACGGTAAGTTCTTAATTGTACCTTAAGTTCGTGATTTCTTAAAGGTTAACATTGTTATTTATTTGTTAGGTTGGTTTTGTTTTTTAGATTTCTACCATAGGAATATATAATGCACTTACTTTTTCTTTGTAATATTACCATAACAATGATGACTCTTGTGATTGTGTGAGTGACTTAGACATAAAAACTGTCATTTTCAGACACTGAGTAATGAATGGACTGGAACTCTCAAATTTTAATTATTACCGCGATTCACTGTCTACGAAACTCAACAACGAGAATCCATTCAATTATTAAAACTTTTAATTAATATTAATAGGAGATCTCAATTACAAAAGAAAGAATACCAAAGCAGATAAAAACTCCTTAGAAATCAGCGTTACCCACAGCTGCGGACTGTAAATTAATGCGAAAACAATAAAGCGGCCGAACGTCGCGTCGTCTGAAAACAGACGAAGAGGCGCGAATAAAAATTAATTCCAAATGGTTATTAGTGCCAGTGAACAAAAGTGTATAGGTGTGGGTGAGTGAGGCAGTAATAAACGTCACGACAAGAGAGATAGGAAATTAAACGAAACTAAAGCGAAGTCGGTCATGCCAACATCTGGGGGAGGAACTTTGGGGAGCCTGTTCCAGCTCCGAGACTAAAAAAAACCAAATTAAGTTCGGCGCCCGATTCTATTTACACTCTGTGAGCGACAGGTTAAAAAAATACCTCTTTTGTTCCTGACTTACGCTTCTATTTTTCACCGTTAATCACGGTCGAAAATTGTCTGTGAGATGTACGTCTGATGGTAATAATTACGGCGTGTTTTTCGTGCAGTTTTAATAAGTAATATTTATCTAATTATTTTATGTTAAATCGCAATTTTAAGTATATTTATCAATATTATGGATTCTGATTTTGTTTGCAATATCGACTTAATTTACTAAGTTTAATTTTGTCTTAAATTATATTTTAATTAATTTACTTTATTTATATTATTTAATTATTTTCTTAGTAAAGTAATTGAATATTTTAATAGTTTCTCAATAACTTTATGCGCATTAAAAATATATTTCTACATTAATTTCTGACAAACAGAATTAAAATGAAAAGCAAAATAGTTCTAAATTATAAATTAAAAAGTTATGTAATTATAAATGTTCACAAAGAAACATAAAGTTGCTTTGAACGTTAGATAGTTTACAATATCAAAATAATTAGATTTGAGATCGACTTACCTTTCGGTAGAGGTTCTATAACAACCTTCACGGCGCCGACAGATGTCAGCCCTGTTAGCCAGAGCAGGGCTATGCCGCTGATGAACCTCATTAGTTCCTCCATATTCTGTCTAGGTGTACTTTAACAGCATTTTTCTGGAACAACGATGAGTGTTATTAGATTTTTAAATTTACTCTATTGCATTATACACGTTTTAATGGAACGTCGAGTGTTAAAAAAAGAAATAAAAATAAGATCATCCAACTGATAGTTGTTAATTGTTTCATTCTGAAATGTTAGTCTTTATAAGAATATATGTCTAGAAGTGTAATATTGATTATATCTAAAAATAAACCAACAGATTATCTATTTATAGATCCCAATTACTACAATTTAATAAACAGATTTTTGTCGAAGTAGATAGAAGGGTTTGAGGAGAATCTATGACTTTTATAATTTGTTTGTATTTTTTTAGAGAGAGCATCGAGACCTAATAGTTATGCTATCTCAATTCAAAATTTAGTGGTCATTAGTTCAAATCTGTCAGCCATCATTATATTCTAGGTTAATTTAAACTTTTAAATGACTTTCCACTAATGCAAATAACGTTAATAAATGCATTTGTTATCGTTGAGATATTAAGCTCACTGTGTATTGTATTCGATTCCAGTCGATATGAGCGAAATCTCATTGCGTTCTATACAAGTTGCAATATTTCTAATACAGGTCGCGTAGAGGACTATTTATTTATTTAAATAAATATATTTATTTATTTAATAATTTTATTGATCAAATGAAAATAACAAGAGGTAGACTATCTGCTATACCTACAAATACTAATAAAATCCAGTAGACTTATTCATCCTGGAGTATTTAGTAATAGTCTTATTGGTTTAAAAAAAATATTAATATTTATAACAGGAGACTTTAAAAGTTGCGCACATGGATATTTCTGTCATTTTCCAGTTACTGCTGTTTAGCATCTGTGTAAAGTGTGTTTAGTAATGAAGTTATTGTAATTAGGGTGGTAAAAAGACTGTTCCCAACAGCAATGCCCGAGGATTACTATTGGTGTTTCGGTTTGAAAAATGAAACGTGGCTGTGTTAGTTAGTTAGTTGGGCGATTGCTATTAATTAGTTAGACTAGTTCTGGTTAATTACACAACAGATCAAGAATTACTTAGGAATGGACAAAGTTATCTAATACTTTCAATGATATTTAAAAAAATGTGTTTTCATTGAAAACATAGTGCAAAAGAAATATTAAAATATAAGTAAGTAATATATTTACATAGAGAATGAGTATGTACATATAAATATCCAAGGGAAATACAAAATGTATCTTCTTGAATATAAAATATGAAGTACTTAGCGAAATACAACGGTATCATGTTAAAGAAGTGGCAACACGGACCGATCCGATGTTTTATTGACGAGTTCCAATATAACTCTTAAATCCAATCCTTCGAGTTTTGGGAGTGAGTTCGCCAAATATTTCTCATCTTTGCATTTATGAATAATAACTGGAAAAAGTTAAATTTGGAAATCCTCTTTCATTTTAATATTGTAGAATTCGTAACGTGTCGAAAAGGTTTGATCTTTTATTTTAGGGTTCTCTGATTTATTTTCGTCATATTGTTTGAAATGTATGATAAATTGAAAATATTTAGAATATATATATATATATATATATATATATATATATATATATATATATATATATATATATATATATATATATATATATATATATATATATAATGAGGCTATAACGTGTAAAAATTATTAGTAGGTATTTCTTGTACATGTGAGATATATTAGGGAGACCTACATGTTACGTATTATGGCATAATGAATATTCTTCTTAGAATCACGTAATATGTATTTAATTAATTCAACTTAAATTATTGCATATCGAAAGTATCTGTCTACAACTAAGAAGCTAAGATAACTACTTCTACCTTCTTATTCATAAAAATGTCAAATTTCTCATAAACCTATTTTAGCTATAGAAATGTTTTGCCTTTTTCCTTTGGCGCTAAATTGTTAATGTGAAAGACAGTGACTGAACAGTATAATAGTTATAACTGGTTTGTAGAAGGTTTTAGTTTTTATTAATAAGGGTTTTTTTTTTATCTGGCGACAAAATAACAAAATACAACTAAAAGAAAGAGAATTGTTACATCTGGATTATATTGAACACGGTTCGTAATCGGATTTTCGAGACCTCAAACACCATAAGACTTTAGAAACAATATTTAATGGAATATTTAATAAAGGGTCAACCTTTTAAGATTTGTGTTAATATTTAAATGAAAAATAACAAGAGAGTAAATGTCCAATAAGTATTTCTAAAATGAAACTGCTACTCTTTTATTTTATTACTTTATAATAGAGTAATAATTTAATGTTAAAATTATAAATAAATTATTATCTTTTGTAAAGAATAGCGAATTATATTTGTAGATATTATTTTTTTGTTACATTTTATTTTATTTTGTTATTTTATTTTATTGCCAATTTTTTTGTTACAAAAAACTAGTTAATATTTTTTCATTATTTAATATCCATAGCAATATTAAAAATATACGCCTTTGTTATCTCTTAGCGCCTTAATGGCTCAACCAAGTGCCCTGATATTTGATATATGAGAATTAGTGATATAAAGATGGACATTAGATATTGTATTCGTAATGCAATATATCCTGAGGGCCTACCATGAAATGTTTTCCGAAATTTTGGAGCCAAACAAAACAGAAATTTGATGTTAAAATTACATAATACATGCGGTTTGGAAATATTAAAAATGTTAAAATATTGTTCCTTTGGACTTTTGAAGATGTATGACGAACGAAATGTTAAACTCCATTTATTGGTCCGATTTTGGTATAAACAAAAACACGAAATTGAGTCCGAAATTTCGGAATTTCATTTCATGGTAAACCCACAGATCACGTGGCCGAAGCCACAGATAATATAGAAAAATAGTGTGTCCACGAAAACAATAATAAAATGAAGAATGAACTCTTTATCAATATGTTGGAATATTTTAGTATATAAAAAAGTCACTAATTTCAATCGTACTTTACAGATTTAGCAATTTAAAATTCGTACTTATGTAGAAAATAGCTTCTTTAGAAATTATTTTGTACAAAATATGTTTTACATCATTTACAAGTTACATACTAGACAAAGGAACGAAATCCTTTGTATGTGTGAAGAGAATAAGCAAATGTGTCGCACAAGGTGGTTTCAGTAATAATGGATGGTTGTTTGTAATTGTGCGCCGGTAAGCCGGTGTAATTGCAACGTGCATCATTAGTGCAATACGTACTCTAGAGCACACGGGACGGTTGTATTTCTGTCCTTTTCTTCTCAAATTTTACGTCATCAAACGTGTTAATAATTCAGGAGAATTCTTTTAGTTATACTGTATTAGCTATATAGTAAGGTTTTAACCAAGTTTATTAAAGGTGAAAAATAACCATATTACTGGTTAGTTTAGAATTATTTTATTGATTGTTAGAAGAATTGTTAATTCTACGTTTGATTACTGTTAGTAGAAATAATATATTCAATCCACACAGTATACATGGTATATGTAGTATAGTATATGGTAGTCGTTATGTATAATAGATCAGAGCGAGACTTTGTACAAAAGTCGATTGCTTGGGTATCTCTGTCCCATTCGTGTTTCTATCGTGAAGCAGTTGTGTTTGCATGGCTGTGTTTCTGTTTGAAGGGTGGGATATGGTATGAATTTACAGGGTACAGAGGAATAACACCTAAGTCCTCAGGAATGGTAACGCATGGGGGGTATCATGGGCGAAACAGTATACTCTGTTATGTCCATGGTACTGCTCGTGTCTATAGGCGACGGTTACCACTTTCCATCAGGTGGGCCGTCAGCTTGTTTGCCATTCTAAGTTATATATAAAAAAAAATAGTCTATAAGAGAGACTTATGTTTAGCAGTAGACAGTTTATGGCTGTAATAATGATGGTGATGGATCTCAGTAACGGTAGTAAGCTCATCCCTTCTTAGATTCTAATATGATATTCGCCGAAATGTGAGTATATGTGTAAATTGTTCGGATTGATACCTGCTGCTGATTTTCACCACCGTACAACCCGCCACAAACTAAAGTTTCATCCCAATCATCTGGACGAGTGACGGTCTTCCACCGTGCGTTTTTCAAGGCACTTTATTCCACGCACAACCATTCTTTGGAATCAACCTCTAGCAGTAGTATTTCCGAACCGATACGACAACATAACCTTTAAGAAAAGAGTATATTCCTTTTTAAATGGCTGGCAGCACACCTGCAATGCCGTTGGTGTTGTGGGTGATCATGGGCAGCGGTAGTCACTTACCATCAGCTGAGCCGCATGCTGGTTTGCCCCCTGCATTGTAAAAAGAAAATATCGAGTGTTCTGTTTACTACAATGGCAATTGTCACTAACTACCCCATTAGGGATTAACGTTATGAACATATTTTTTTAATCTCCCTTTAATGCAGAGTATTGAAAAAATCATCTATTCACAGCAAATTACAGGTGCAAGCTATACAAGAAGAGTTTCTAATTACGGCAGCGGGTCTGCCCACCCAGTCGACACCTGATTAAGACATCAAAGATTCTGCTGCACGCCTGTTTCTAATTATTTGGCTTATTCACTGTAGCCTTTACAAGATGGAGCACTTTCTACCACTACCACTGGAAACTTCTAGCAGTATATGGACTACTTTTAGTTTCAAACTTCATTTATACTACTATTATATTTATTTACTTCGAAAAACATGAAACAAAATTTATATGGGACTGGTGAAGATTTCAGCTACCCATGGAAGTGGATTTAGTCTAAGAAAATGTTGACTGCTATCGTATATATAGTGAAAACAAAACATTCTTTTTTTCTTCCTCTTTTTTTAATTGTTCCGACCAATAATCGAATCTAGGTTGTTATCTATGTAAACATGTCAACCACTTTGCTATATAGGTCGTTGTCTCTTGGTATTAATTTTTTATTAAAATATAAAATATCCATTAGATTTCCGCCTTAGTTAAGCCGCACGAGTTTCGTCCGTCGCATCGCGTCCTCCTCAAATCCTATATAATAACGAGACAAGAGCCTGTCTCTTTAACGGAAATTTTTA